ATATATATATATGTGACAGTATGGGTGTTGGTCTCCGTTTACTATTGGTTCGTTACGGTCTGTTGAGTGAGCCTATCATGGCTAGAGGTGTATAGTATATGGACATGCCGTGGGGAGAATCGCGTCACGGAGTTACTGCCTTTTCCAGTTCCTCATGCCGAGTGGCATGCGGGAGAGACTAAGTGCTTGGTCCTTATAGCATGTGGGAGAGTAGTTGTATAGTTTCCCATGACTGACGTGTCTGCAGCCCATTCACAGTGTGCACGTTGATTTCCCTCTGGTTTGTCGTGACTGGGATTCCTCGCACCCTAGACGTGTGGCATATGCCATTGATTTAGCGAGGAGGATTCTGTTGCCGGGGCTACCAGTGGTTCGTTCGTTCATTGACCTGCGGAGTACTGCTGTTTTGCTGCTGGTTCGACGTAAATAAGTGTGGAGAGGATTGGCGGTACTTTCATTATTTCATACTGGTTACGCAATAATGGTTAGTGTTATTATATGCGGGTTGATTGAAAGGGAAATTGCTGCCCCGCTATTTTAGAGTGTCTGTGTGTGCGTGTGCAAGGGTAATGTGGTGTTGTCTTTGTTTTCTTTTGTAATTGTATTTTCTTGTTTTCTTTGAAATGTTGTATGGCTTGTTTTCTTTTGTTTAGTTAAGTTTAGTTGATGGTGATATCTTTAATGATTATTTTGTTTTAGTATTGATGTTGTATTTCCTTTGAACTTTGTATTTAATGGTTTCTACGTATGTTTAGTCTTGTTCTTTTTGTTAGGATTTGAGTGTTCAAAAGCAAGGGGGCAGGGTTGACTCATGGGTTATTTTTTGATGTGCTGTGTATGTGCACTGGTGTGTGTGGTGATGTATTGACCGGGTTATTTCTTTCTTTTTTTTTTCTTTACTTAACGAGTGTGCTGGTGTTTGAGTCTCCCCCTGCTGGCCATCCTCAGTCCTAGTGTCGGATTTATTTTTGTTGGTTTGTTTTCCTAAGTCTTGCCCGTGTGATGTACAAATGATTTTGTATCTTTTTTTTTGGGATTATTGTTCAAATGTGAAGTGTTTCTAATGAAGTTTGTACTAGCTAGCGCTGAACTTATCTTTTAACACATTGGTATTTTTGTCGTTTTGTTTGATCAAAGTGTTTTGAATTATTTACTCTATTTTTGTCATCGAATAAAAATGTTAATTTTTTTCATCCACGTCTCTTGTCCTGTAAGGGAAAAATCTGTGAAGCCTATTTAGTGGGTTTTCATGTATACGACGAGGCATATCTTTACGCATTGACACTGGAATAACAATTTGATTGTTTCGCAACAACAAGCCATTACACACACTCAGTTCTGCCCTCATTGGAAGATACTGGTAAAAATTTATTTATAAATATATATATTTACATACGGGTAAAAATGTATAGCCTGAATACACTGTAAGTCGCTTTGGATAAAAATGTCTGCTAAATGCATAAATTATTATTATTAATTAATTAAATTATTAAATTAATTATTAATTAAATTAATTAATTATAAATTATTTGTGGACCATTGGATAACTTGCGTTTTAAACCAATCACAAAGGTCCTGGGTGGCATACAACAGCGGGAGCAGAGTGGAGGGATCTGTATTATTCAATAACCAGACAAGGAACCAATATAAAGAGGTATTACTGGTGCTGGCGTCTTTATTCCACGTGGAACATTCATCATATACAAATTACCACACCTCTCCTTAGCAAATGCACTTAACTTTATACAATCCATTACTGCCACCTAGTGGACTAAACATCCCACTCATTACATCCCTTTTCTTTGAATAAATAACAACATTACATACTTAACAACAGTTCACACTAGACACTAATCCAACACCAAAACAATTAATTGCTCCATTTTACCATTTACAACACATTCATTTTTCAATATCTTTTTTCTTTCTTTTTTTTTTCTCTCTCTCTCTCTCTCTCTCCTCTTTTTTTTTTTTTTTACAAGTCCAGTCTAACAGGTGGTTTTCTAACATGATTATATCTTCGTAAAATTGGACTGTCAGTCTTTGGTACAGATGAAACCAGTTCAGGGGACTGTTCAGAGAGTTGAACCTCAGAAGGAGACTTAGCAACAGGAAGAGACACAGCAACAGAGGGCATTTCTGGAGAAGGTGTCTCAACTTCATGAGAAGTTAGCACATCCAAGGGAGACAGTTCTATATTTGACTTACAGATTTCTGCAGACTTCAGCAAACTTCTCCGATTTCTCCTTAGCACGTGCCCATCCTCTGTTTGAATAAGATATGACCTTGGATTTACTTCTTTTAGAACAACAGCTTTCTTTTTCCATCCTGTTGGCTCCTCAACTCTAACCACATCTTGCTCAGAAAGAGGTATCAGTTGCCGAGATCCCTTATCATAAGATTCTTTACGTTTCCTTTTCTGATGTTGCATCTCCTTCAATATCAAACTTTTGTTTTCTCTTTTAAAGGACAACTTTGGCAATGTGTCACGCAGTTTACGGTTCATCAGTAGTTCGGCAGGAGATAACCCACAACCAAGTGGGGAGGAACGATAACTCAACAATGCCAGATATTCATCCGAATTGCTTGCAGCTGCTTTTTTCAACAGTCTTTTTACAATTTGCACCCCCTTTTCTGCTTTTCCATTTGCCTTTGGATAAAGGGGGCTCGACGTTGTATGCTTAAAGCCATATTGTTCTGCAAACAGTCGGAATTCACGACTACTATACCGAGGACCATTATCACTTTGCACAATGAAGGGAATTCCATGCCTGGCAAAAATGCGTTTCATGTGATTAATCACATCACTCGTTGTTGTATAACGGAGCTGTTCAATTTCAGGATAATTGGAATAGTAATCAATAACTACCAAAAAATCCTTACCATTCAACTGGAACAGATCAGTTCCTACTTTTTGCCATGGTTGAGTAGGCACATCAGCAATCAGCATTGGTTCTTTTGCCAGTTTATAGTGATGACGCAAACAGACATCACACTTACTGATTAATTCCTCAATATGCATATTAATTCCAGGCAAATAAACAGCTTGTCTGGCTCTTTGCTTGCATTTTTCAATACCAAGATACCCTTCATGTATACGACGAAGCATATCTTTACGCATTGACACTGGAATAACAATTCGATTGTTTCGCAACAACAAGCCATTACACACACTCAGTTCTGCCCTCATTGGAAGATACTGTGAGCACTTGCCTTTAATCCATCCTTGTTGAAGAAGAACAATCACTCTCTGCAATTCAACATCCTTAGTCGTTTCCTCCACAATAAGTTTTAACATCTCATCTGAGAATGGTAAAGATGAAATCACTGTACTCACTGTACCTCTCTGACATCGGTGCTCGTGACAGTGCATCAGCCACAATGATATGCTTCCCAGGTGTATACACTAGATTTAAATCATATCTTTGCAATTTCATCATCATGCGTTGAATTCTGGGTGACATATCATTTAAGTTCTTTTGAATTATCGATATTAATGGTTTATGATCTGTCTCTACTGTAAAAGTAGGTAATCCATAAACATATCCATGAAATTTCTCACAGCCAAATAGTACCCCCAAAGTCTCCTTTTCAATTTGAGAGTACCTTTTTTCAGTTTCCGTCAGGGATCGGGAAGCATAGGCCACAGGTTTCCAGGAATCTCCACCAGCCTGAAGAAGCACAGCTCCTAGTCCATCCTGAGAGGCATCTGTAGAGATCTTAATTGGACGAGTGTAATAAAAAAAAATCAGGAACAGGTTCAGAAGTCAGGATCTCTTTTAACCTCCTCCATTCTTGATCATGTACAGAAGACCACACAAACTCTTTGAGATTTTGTAACAATGCTCTCATATGGGTGGTTTTGGCAGATAGATTTGGCAGAAATTTTCCTAGGAAATTTACCATACCTTAGGCACGTAAAACTCCCTTCTTGTCATTAGGTGGAGGCATTTCCAAGAGGGCTTGTACTTTAGCTGGATCTGGTTCCACACCTTTTGCAGACAGCTTGTTACCTAAGAAGGTTATCTCTGTGACTCCAAACAGACACTTTTTCTTGTTCAACTTTAAATCATGCGCTCGAATTCTTTCCATCAGTTTTAATAGTTGCTGATCATGTTGTTCATGAGTGGACCCCCACACCACAAGATCATCAATATATACACGAACACCTTCAAGTCCTTCAATAAGTGTTTCCATTGCGCGATGAAAAATCTCGGGGACTGACTTAATCCCAAATGGAAGACAGAGAAAACAGTATCTTCAATGTGCAATATTTACTACTCTCAGAATTCAATCGGATTTGCCAGAAACCCTGAGACGCATCTAATTTACTAAAAAATCGGGCACCTGACATTTCACTAAGAATCTCTTCACGTGTGGGTATCTGATAGTGTTCTCGTTTGATGTTATCATTAAGATCTTTAGGATCTAGACACATTAGGTCACCATTAGGTTTTTTCACACACGTGATGGAGTTTACCCAATCAGTTGGTTGTTCCATCCTTTGAATGACTCCTAATTGAGTCATACGATCCAATTCTTGCTTCAAGGGCTCTCGCAGAGGGACAGGAACACGTCGAGGAGCATGTATAACAGGTGTAGCGCCATCCTTCAGTTGTATTTTGTAAGAATATGGAAGCGTTCCTTAACCTTTAAAAACAACTGGAAACTGATTGACAATGCCAGTAACACGGTCACAGACTGTCTGGATGACTACATTCTCTTTGTTAACTTGATACACTCGTTTAACCAACTGAAGGTCTTCACATGCTCTATCTCCAAGAAGAGATTCTTGGCCATTGGGAACCACAACAAACATTCAATTTTGTGTCTATCCTTTGACTTGTATCTTCAGTCTACAAATTCCTTGTGTTTCAATTGGTTGTCCGTTATAGGCTTTAAGGGGAACTGTGCGTTTTTGAATTAGGGGTCTTTCTTTCAATGCTTTCACACCTCTGATGTTAATTAAGTTGACCTTAGCACCAGTGTCTAACTTAAAAGGTACTATTGTCCCATTAGCCACAAGAGCAACAATCCACTTAGAGGACTGCACAGAATCCTCAATAGACACACCTTTTTCCTCGCCCGGAGTTGTATCCTCTTCAGAGACCATCTGCATGTAAAAGGAATCACTCAAGGTATAACTATCATCTGGATCCTCCACTACATGTACTCTGTGTTCCGTTTTAAATTCTTTTGACAAGCACATTTTTGCAAAGTGGTTCAGGCCATTACATTTAGAACACCGTTTACCAAATGCTGGACACTGTGTGAACTTATGTTTACTCACACAGCGTTTACAAAGAAATGTTTCATTGTCAGTGCCTCTAAACTTCTTGCATTACCTCGTTTCTTGTCTCTGAAAGATATGGCATCAATAGCTGCAGCTGCATTCAGAGAGGACGTCGCTGAAGAAACATCAAACTGCATCACTTGCTGTCTCGCTAATTCACTGGACTGGCACAATTCAACAGCATGATCCAAGGTGAGTTCAGACTCTCGTAGCAATCTTTCTCGCCCTTTCTTGTCACATATGCCAAAAACAATCTGATCACGAATCATGGAATCTCTTAATTCATTAAAATTACAGGTTTTTGCCTTTATCTTAAGGTCAGTAAGAAAGCAATCAAAAGTCTCTCCTTCATGCTGCATTCGCGTTCGAAATACATATCGCTCATATGTCTCATTCTTCTTTGACAAGCAATGAGCATCAAATTTTTCCAATACCTTATCCAGTTTCTGTAGCAATCTTTCTCGCACTTTCTTGTCACATATGCCAAAAACTATTTGATCACGAATCATGGAATCTCTTAATTCATTAAAATTACAGGTTTTTGTCTTTATCTTAAGGTCGGTAAGAAAGCAATCAAAAGCCTCTCCTTCATGCTGCATTCGCGTTCGAAATACATATCGTTCATTTGTCTCATTCTTCTTTGACAAGCAATGAGTATCAAATTTTCCCAATACCTTATCCAGTTTCTTCTGATCTGCCTCATCTTCAAAATTAAAGGTGTTGTATACTTCCACAGCGTCTACTCCAGCAATAGTAAGTAACAGCAATCTTCCTTTCATCTGCAGCTTCTGCTTGGCCAATAGCTGAAACATACAGCGTAAACTGTTGTTTGAAAGTCCACCAATTTGCGTCAACATTTCCACACAAACTTCAAAGCGCCCGGTGGTTTAATTGCGTCCATGGCGTTCTTCAAACCCCACGCCTGGTACCATGTATTATTCAATAACCAGACAAGAAACCAATATAAAGAGGTATTACTGGTGCTGGCGTCTTCATTCCACGTGGAACATTCATCATATTCAAATTACCACACCTCTCCTTAGCAAATGCACTTAACTTTATACAATCCCATTACTGCCACCTAGTGGACTAAACATCCCACTCATTACAGGATCCACCTATTCATCCCAGCATCCGTTAAACCAGATTGAGGCTTTTTTATTTTTTATTCACCAGAAGAGAGCCAACAAGATTCTTCTACTGTGAGTAATGTTATGTCTGCTAATTTAATTATCTATCCTGGAAAGTTATTTTAATAATAGTTTTCTGAAAAAGAAGCAAAAGTTCTGTTACTTATCTGAAATAAGCTAATGTTGTGAACATACCTTGCTAAATTGAGTATTAAAGTTTAGCCACATGATCTTATGAGAATTCGTATCTATTTTATGTAAAATAGGGCTCTACAAAACGTACAGTTAGGCCTACTTATGTTTGCATAGACACTGAAATATACTGACGTTTACAGCATCTCAGCAATGGCTTATTGACAACATAAATCCTTATGAATATTGCAATCACGGCATTAACATTTTTATATTTCGGTCTGTTCTGTGTGATTTCTGCTGTCAACTCATTTCGAAGAATACAATGTTCAAAAAGACTACAAAACAAATAACATTTATGTAATTATTTAAGTTCCATTTTTAATGAAATATTTATTTTGTTTGCCGTGGGACATAAAAGCCATTTTCTCCAACACGCTGTGACTGACAATAGAACCAATAAAACACACCAAAAACGCAACATAATTACAAGGAATCAATTTTATTCGTGCACTGTAATCCAAGTCTTCTGAATTCATACGACTGCGCATCCGTTAAACCAGATTGAGGCTTTTTTATTTTTTATTCACCAGAAGAGAGCCAACAAGATTCTTCTACTGTGAGTAATGTTATGTCTGCTAATTTAATTATCTATCCTGGAAAGTTATTTTAATAATAGTTTTCTGAAAAAGAAGCAAAAGTTCTGTTACTTATCTGAAATAAGCTAATGTTGTGAACATACCTTGCTAAATTGAGTATTAAAGTTTAGCAACATGATCTTATGAGAATTCGTATCTATTTTATGTAAAATGGGGCTCTACAAAACGTACAGTTAGGCCTACTTATGTTTGCATAGACACTGAAATATACTGACGTTTACAGCATCTCAGCAATGGCTTATTGACAACATAAATCCTTATGAATATTGCAATCACGGCATTAACATTTTTATATTTCGGTCTGTTCTGTGTGATTTCTGCTGTCAACTCATTTCGAAGAATACAATGTTCAAAAAGACTACAAAACAAATAACATTTATGTAATTATTTAAGTTCCATTTTTAATGAAATATTTATTTTGTTTGCCGTGGGACATAAAAGCCATTTTCTCCAACACGCTGTGACTGACAATAGAACCAATAAAACACACCAAAAACGCAACATAATTACAAGGAATCCATTTTATTCGTGCGCTGTAATCCAAGTCTTCTGAATTCATACGACTGCTAAGAACAGACCCAAATTCATCCGTTTATTCAGCGATCTTCATCCATCCTCACCGACCGTATAAACAGCCCGCGGTGACGTGCTCGTTCAAAATTCAAAATTTGCCACTTCAAATAACTACGGCAGTAAAATCGAACGCTCATTGGTCCTCGCCTGCTTCGTCACAGATTAATACAGATAATCTGGATAATATTTCCAGCGATTAACAACTTAAATTCTGCTCTGTACCTCACACAAAACTATTGTATTTCACCTGCGGCTGCAAGGTATCATTTGGACTACTTTTGGTAATGTTTTTGACATTTTTGTAGTAAATCATTGGGATTGCACTTGTCTGTCCATCATGTTTTTATTTATAGCATAACGTTACTGTAAGAAATGGCTGTGGTTAGGTTTAAAGGTAGGAGTGGGATTAGCGACCCAAAATATATTTTTTATAATGCTATGTTGTTACTAAAATGGTAATTTCCTTGCATATTTCTGTCCATTACGTTTCATGTTTTTATATTCGTTATTAAATGGGTATGTTTGGGTTTGGGGGTAGGTTAAGGGGTCTAAAAATCTAAATTGTGTATCGATAAAATGATTTTAAAAAACATTAATTTATATTATATCTTGATGATATAAAAGATTTGTAAATATTTTACGTTTTTAACTGACCAGGCTAAGATTAAACAAGATGTTTGTGGATCAGATTTTTTTTGTTTATTTTCTGTTGTTTTTCTAATAATGTAAGTTATTAATTAATTAACTTTTTACAGTTGTCTTTTCTTTGATTAGCAACGAACACCGTCCTGCAGTGAATGCAATGTTTTCATACTGTGCCCTTTTCTGTGCTTTCCAGACCCTGCCATGCACCCTGCCTCTTCATACAGGCCATCATGATGTCATCTCAGAAGGTAGGCTCATCTTGCAAAAAGGGTTTTCAAATTTGCAGCAGCATATTGCTGACAGGCCAGAAAAAGGGATCAAGGTCACATTATAATGTGATACATTACCAGTTAAAAGTTAAAGTTTCTTAAAGAAGTCTCTTCTGCTCACCAAGCCTGCATTTATTTGATCCAAAGTACAGCAAAAACCGTAAAATAATAAACAGAAATATTTGTAATATTTTGAATAACTGTTTCTATTTGATTATATTTTGAAATGTAATTTATTCCTGTTATTTCAAAGCTGAATTTTTAGCATCATTACTCCAGTCACATGATCCTTCAGAAATCATTCTAATATTCTCATTTGCTGCTCAAAACACATCCAAGCTTTTGAATGGTATAGTGATAAATGCTGATCTTTGGATCTTTCTATTCATCAAAGGATCCTGAAATAAAATGTACTCAACTGTTTTAAATATTGCTAATAATAATAATAATAATAAATGTTTCTTGAGCAGCAAATCAGCATATTAGAATAATTTCTGAAGGATCATGTGACACTGAAGACTGGAGTAGTGATGCTGAAAAATCACAGAAATAAATTACATTTTAAAATATTTTCAAATAGAAAGCAGTTATATTAAATAGTAAAATATTTCACAATATTACTGCTTTTGCTGTACTTAAGATTAAATAAATGCAGGCTTGGTGAGAAGAGACTTTAAAAAAAAAAAATTAATAATCTTACTGTTCAAATACTTTTGACTGGTAGTGTAAGTTTATAGTTTTAACAAGATATTTTTTCACCTTATACAAATATTTTTGTTATTAGGATATACAAAAATATTTTATAGCAGGAAACTTTTCTATACAATTGTGTTTAACCCAAGCATGAAATATAGAAATAATCAAATTGTGTATATCGTGTATTAAAAAATGTCAATGTTGCACACGGAAAAGTAAAAATAAATAAATAAATCTTGACATAAATACATGTGGGAATGAATAAATATATATATAAAAAAAATAATGAATGCATAAATAAATAAACTTAAAAATAAATTTAATTAAATATAAAAATAAATTAAAGAATAAATAAAAGTTAGAATAAAAATAAAATTTAAAAATACAGAAAATAATAAATGAAGAAACAATGTAATAAAAAATAATTCAGGATAAAATTTTATTACAAGTGAATTATATTTGTTTAATCAAATAATTTACTGCTCAAATGCACAGAGGGCAAAAGCTGCTTTAAACGCAAAGGATGCTCACAACAAATTTTGATTTAATTTAGTTAATAGAAGTTAATTGATAAATTAAATCTATTTATGACATTATTTTTGACAGCATCCTCAACAGCATTTTTACACAAGTGCCTAAAACTTTTAACAGTACTGTAGCTTTGCAGGTAGGTTTCTTGAAGCATCTTGGAGACGTGGCCACAGTTCTTCTGGATTTAGTCTGTCTCAGTTTGTTCTGTTTCTTCATGTCATTCTGGATGATGATGAGATCAAATCTGTGTGGAGCACTGGCTGTTGTCAGACTCCTTGTGCAAACAAAAATCTCACTGGATTATTACAATTAATGGCAAAATGAATGTTTGGAAATGTAAACTGATATTTCCCACTGACACACTACAGCAAAAGATAGAAATAACTGACTTAAAACCATTTTT